TATTGACCCTACAACTATTAGTGTATTTTGGGGCGCAAAAGCTTTGAATGCGAACTCAACTCCTACTTTACTTGTTGATATTTATTATGCACTTCACACTCAGTATGAAAAGGGAAGGGGTACTCTAAACTGTTGTATCTCACTCTTATATTATTGGTTTATGACTCATCTCTATAAGGAAAATTAAGGTTTTTGGTGAAGTATCTTAGAAAAGCAAGCAAGCACCGATAATGTTTCACACACTTGTCATGTACTAAGGAATAAACAACATTAGACAACTTGGTCGGACGGACCGACCTGCTCTGATACCACTAATGTAACACCCCAATTCTATCCGACGGATAATAATAAAATCAGAGTTCGACATAATTAGGATGCTACATTTTAAACTTAAAATCAAACTTCATTTAATCGCATATAAAATAGATACATAACACTTAATTCCGATGAACTGATAACAACCTGATTTATTCTTTAAAATCAAACAACTTTTTATTGATAAGCAGCAGAATCTACATACTCAACTTCAATTCACTTAACATATTTTATCCAACTAAAACAACTTCAATATGCAACATCAAATGCGACTCAGTTACAATGAACATGCATGTGGTACCATTGGAGCAGAACTCCCAACTTAAAAATGGAGCAGAACTCCCAACTTAGAAACGGAACAGAACTCCCATCTTAAAAATTGTCAATTAATAGAGGCATCAACAAGGCATAAGCCTTCTTCACAGTTTTCTAATCCAGGTGTTGTACCCCAAAATTTTCCCTCTCATGTTTCCCAAGGTTTTTTATCTTGTATGAGTGGTTACAAACACTTGCCTAAAGAAAAATAAATTTTTGAATGTTAGCAAAGTGTCTTTCGATTTGCAGTTAAACAGTGCCCTTCGATTGGCATAACAGAAAGCTTCGACTGGGCTCCTAAAACCCTTTGATCAAGCATTGGCCCATCAACTTCGATTGTGCGTTGATTCCCCTTCGAACAAGCCTTGGTCCAATCTTCACAAGCAAGAATCCCCTACAAGTTTGCTTCGATTCACCAGCAGTGAACTCCTGCATACAAGCTTCGATTGGACGCTGAATCTCCTTCGATCAAGCTTAATTCACAAAGCTTCCTCATGCTTGCCTTGGTTTCACAAGGCAAAGAACCTTCAGTTTTCCTTCGATCTACAAGGCAAAAGGCCCCTTTCACTGGTCTTCAATTCACAAGACAAAGGGCTGCTTCAGACATGCCTTTGATTCACAAGGTAAAGGCCCCCTCTTCATCTTGCCTTCAGCACACAAGGCCAAGACTCCTTCAGATTCGCCTTCAATTCACCAGGCAAAAAGCTTTCTTCGACCCACAAGGCATTGGTTGCCTTTGTGCCAGCATTCGACTGGGAAATGGTCCCCTTTGAAACAGTTTTCCACACTTCGAAATGCATGAAAGTCCCTTCGAAGGCGCATTCATGTGGTCCCTTTGAAGAAGCATTCATTGGTCCATTCGAAGGACACATGACTATTGAAAATAAGTTTGCTTTGCGATGAGTCTTGGTCCAAGATGCTTTTGGATAAAATCTTGTACGCTTCCAAGCCCAAACCCCGTGCACAAGCACATTCTTGCCAAAGGAATATTCGACTGACCAGAATAAAGTCTTTTGATTGGGCTAATTGAGTAGTGTCAAAGCAATCAAAGAGAGCGAACTTTGGGGCTGATCGAAGAAGCCGGAATGTTAAGACTTTGTACAAATCGAATTAAGATCCAGAGTCAATTGAAAAGCAAATATCTGAGGGGCTTTTGAAGAAGCCCTGATGAAGGAAACTCTGAACAGATTCGAATCTAGAGTCATCAAAAAGGACAAATGCTCTGATGAAGAGAATTATGGGCAATTCGAATTGATGCAGATATTGACTTAATTAAAGAAACTCTGATAAGGGAAAACTTTGAATTCATAGTCATAAAAAATATGAGCAATTTGAAATGATGTGGATGGACTCCATCGAAGGATATGAATCAGAGCCATTCGAAGGAGGCAATCAGAGTCATTCGAAGGAGGGAATTCGAAAGTCAAATGTGTCCAAGTTCATAGTAAATTCAAAAAGGGACAAGAAACCATGTCTTTGGCAAAGTTTCAAAGTGATATTCATGGCCTTAAAACACCAACTTAATGGCTGTTTATTTATTTTCCCTCTTGTCCCCTCCATCCCATCTATATAAGGAGCACACTAGCAAGCTTCAAGGACACAAAAAAACAGCCTAGAAGAACTCTACAAAATTTGCAAAAAAATTCCAAAGTTGTCAAAATCCAAAAACCCAATTCCGGTCCATTTCAATCTGATTCAAAGGTTCCATCAACATCCTTAGATTCCCAGGATTCATTCCCAGTCCTCATTCAAGCTATCACACGCCCATAAGTGCCAAACCAGAACCACCTTTTTTTGGTAAAGTTTTCAAATGCGTATCTCTAGTTTTATGATATATTAATGCCTTTTGATGATTGATTCGTGCTCAGGATGATTCATAGGACAGGTTTGACATAAGGTATGTGTGCTTTGAGGCTTAAAAGCCAACTTTCCATTGTTAGGGTCTTGAAGTCGTTAAGCTTTAATCTGGGTGATGCAGTTACTTTTAGGCCAATCTAAGGCCAAATTCAGAACCAGAACATGATTTTACATAGGATAGGACCCTTGGTTTTGCTTTAAATTATGTATTTTTTAGGAAATGAGCTTTGGATTGTCCGGAGAAGGTGATCGGAGGTTTGACTTCGGTCGCTGACTCCGACAGCTTGGTTGTCGTCCTCTCATTGGCTCACGGAGGCCAACGCGTACGTTTTTATTTTTTTGAATATATTTGACTTTATTTCAAATATAATGTAATGCTTTGGTTATAACACACGAATTGTAAAGCAGATCAATTGGTAAAGGCGTGCATGTGTGAAGGAGAGGGCCTGGGTTCGAATCCCAGGTCCAACATTTTTATCTTTTCTAATGAATTGTGTGCAGACCCGGTGCTCCTCGTGGCCTATTGCACATCATACATCATCAGATCCAAGCCCTCAGAAGCATTTTTGATCCAAGTCAAAGCATCCAACGCGCAAGCTCATCATGCACCCTCAAGACTGCTCCACACCTGATCCAGCGTAGCCTGGGCTTAATTTCAATTGTGCCCATCAATTTCAAACAACACCCCCCTTATTTTTCTTTTGCTATCAGGCCCATCTAGCATTTTTGTCGTATTGTTGTAGTTTTATTTATTTTTATTTTCTTTCTTTATTAATTAAACAAATAATCAGAAAAATCACAAAAAAAATATTAAGTTAGTATTTTTTTAATTAAACTAATTTTTTAAATAAATTAAATAATTTTTTTAACTATTTCTTAAATTTAAAATGAATTAGAACTTAGGACTTGATTTAGATTTAATTATTTTCTTGTCATAATAAAAAACTAAAAAAAAGAACTTAGACTATTTTTCTTGATTAACTTTATTTTCTACGTAGACTTTAGGATAATTAATTTAATTATTTTCTCAAATCAAAAAAATAAACAAAAAAGATTTTCTTATTTCATTTAGAATTGCCTTAGGTTTTAGATGTCTTTATCTTTCGCGCGTTATATATTTTTTGCATTTTTACATTATTGTACCTGTATACTGGATGTAATAGACTAATTAGAATTTTTACCGCTTTCCTTATTTTTTCTTCCCCCAAGCTTTGTACATTGTAAATGCCCCTCCCCGAAGCCATGTAATAGTCTAGGTTTTCACTTTCCGCACTTTACATTTCCTACAAAAATATTAACTGTTAGTAAATAGGGTTGTATGGCAAGGCTGAAAGCAAACGTTAGCAAACCCTAAATGCACAAGATAAATAATTGAGCCAAAATGATCCAAGATTTCATTTTCAGCAAGCAAACCCCCTTAATAATATACCTCCTTTTTAATTGTAGGGAAAGCTTAATGGGCCATCAGATTTTGATGGTCTATTTTTGAAACAACACACCCCCTCTATAAAGGTGAACCCCATATACATGAATTTGACAACAATATATTATAGAGGAAATTAGGATACTAGGAACTAATAACAATAAGGAATAAATTATTCTGAAACCAGTAAGGAAAATTTAGGGTATGACACTTAACATTTCAAATCCCTTTAGCCTTAGTTGTACATTGCAACATAGATAACATTAGTTTAATTATTAGTCTCGGTGGGTTCAAAAATCTTTTAAAACTACGCAATAGACTGTGAACTTGCAGTTCCATATTTCGACAGATATATAAAGTCGCGATCATATCCCTCTCTCTATCATTCAATTGCATGCTTATATTTAGTTGTTAGGTTTATCGCTTATAATTACATGATTCATATGTTTAGTGCATTCATAGTCTTAATTTGTGTATGCTTAGGTTTGATTAAAATTGATTTTTTGAAATTATCTTGGCATTGATTATTCTGTAAGAATTGTAATTGGATTTTCTTCAAATGGAAAAATAGTTAAATGTGTTAAACATCATGTTTAAAGCTTTAACCATTAATCATTACATTGTCTATTATCTCATTATAAATCATTGGTGTGTGTATAATGTCAATCTTCTTCCAATAACTAAAACCTTTGAAATCTATGTTTTTACCATCTTATTTTATGCTTGCTAAATACGATTTTTAAAGTCGAAAATAAGATACGTTTATTTGTCTATTCAACCCCCCTTCTAGACACTTAACACCATATTCAAACTAACAGAACCCTCAATTTGTGTGAAATGACAACTGAGTATCAACTTGAGTCGCCACCTCCATATCATCTACCTCTATATCAACCTGAGGAGGAACCTCAATATCATCCCGAGTTGTTAACTCTACGTCAACATCATCAACAACATCTAGATCAACATCAAGATCTCTAGTATGTCTAGCTTTACCTCCTCTACGCTATAGACTATTGGATGTGCGTGACTCCTTTATCCTCAATCAGTGAGAATCAGTGGGGACTACTATACCATCCCTAGCTTGCAACTACTCTTCGCCATCTCCACCACCTCCAGTAGAGGACTCTACAAGTTCTCTCTCTACTATATCACTGAATCTCGGAACAAACGTGTTGTCTCTACCTTTGGTTCCCACTACATAAAAAAAAGAATTTATGTCAAAATTTACAAGGTATAGAAAAAATGAATGAAGATATTGCACACAAAGCGTATCTGAGATTGTAAAAAACTATGGATGTTTGTAAAAATTAAACTTTGTATTATTGTGAAAACTAAACTCTCTGCGATTGAAAAAATGACTGCCACATTTCAATACGGTTTGTAGTAATTATTGTTTAATTTTAATATAAATACACAAGTTAAGAGGACATATTCTTTTTTGTAACGATATAATAGAAAACTACTGGTGTTGGGATTCGAAACGTATAATCCTTAACCTATCACCACACTAGTGCAGAAATGACTTTTTACATCGGGCGAAAATAACTTTTTACATCGATTCTGGGTTCGATGTAAAGTCAGGAGATATAGTAAATCAGGGACTTTTTATATCGATTTTGGGTCTGATGTGAAAAAGACAGTTAACACATCGGTTATAAGCTAAGCCTGATTTAAAAAATAATTATAACATTATTTTTTTAAAAATTGACGCAACATTTTACATCGGGCTAACTTGGGACCGACGTAAAATACACCCTTTTTACATCGGTTGGGATTAATGCCCGATGTAAAATATTCAGCGTTGATAGTTTTTACATCGGTTGCTATTAATGCCCGGTGTAAAATGTAAGCAATTTTTTTTGAATAAAATATTTATTTTCTGGATAATTCCCTGTAAAATTAAAATTGGTACCCATTTTTTCATATTTTTCCAATATCATACAGACTAAATTTAGGTCGATATATATATGTCATAGCTTTCCAACATCACATAGACCACATCTAGGTCGATATTTTCATATTTTTCACAACAAACTTACAAAATGAACAATTGTATAACAAACTTGAATTGTATCACAACAAACAAACTCACAACAAACTTACAAATATATATTCTTCACAAAACATACAAAAATATTCAATTATTTATAAGTCTTTTTCCAAACTTGAATTACCAATATAAAATCCACAAGTAGATGAGTTATAGCTTCGGTAGACAATACCAAAATCACATTTCCTGACAATAAATAATAACAATTAACATCAGCAAAAAATATCAAGAAACTCAATACATGTGCAAAAACCACATGTAATATGAAAATACTCAATAATAACAATTATGTGCAAAAACCACAACTTAGACAATTCTATAAAATTTACCAGATAAAACTTAATTTTTATATAACTCAAAGAAACATTTTGCCCAACGGAGTCACAAATCATCTTGTGTTAATTCTGTTGGGTCGTCAAATACCTATAATACATAAATATAACAATATAGAGTTATTCTTTAAAAATTCATATTAAGTTGCAATGGCTATGATGTTCCAATGACTAATGTTAAGATATCGTTACGTCCAACCAGAACAATCGCACCTTTTCAGCTTCTTGAACTAGAGAATCCTACAAAATGCAAGAACCACAATTAATCAATCACAAATATAATGATACTTGAATTATTTTTCATTGTTTAATTACAATTTTTTCAGCAACCTCTTGTGTAGATTTTGATGTGTATTCTCCTCCTTTATTTTGTCGTGCTCTCTTCCATAACTCATGGAGTGATGATGGAGATGGACTACCATTATCATCTAATGTGGAATTATCTCCCGATGATGACTTTTCTTTCATAATTTTCTCCTCAAGCAAACGATACTCTCCACGAGACAATAAGTGTGGGTATACATTCTTAGCCACATTATCCTTACCCTTTTGACTTTTTTTCTATTATAAACTCAAAAAGTTATTAATCACTGAATATAATAAAAATATTATGCACACAAAAACATATAACTCCTACTAACCTTAAATTCAGGGGTATCTCGAATCTTGAGAAACTCTTTCCATGCGTCTTCTGTAATAAAGATATACTTGACATATGGAGGAGGATCATTTTCTATGGGATGATTAATATATCTGTCTGTGAGTTGTGTCTTAAAACCTCTCCATCGCTCTCCTGCATATTTAATCCATTCTTTCTTTAATCCATCCTTCTTTGGATCATTACATTCTGGAATAGTGAAATGAGCCTACAAATATAGTATATGTCATATGTTGTTAATTAGTATATGATTATAAAATATAATAAAGTGTTGTATTTAAAATACCTGAACATCAGTCCAAATAGCATATTTTACGCCTTCATCTACTTTTTTCCAATCATTTTTCACAATACTACAGTACTGTCGAGCAAGACATGCTATATAACTCTTAAAATGTGTAGCATTTTTACCAACACCAATACATTCATAGGTTCTTGGATTAAACTCGACCTTTATCTTTTCACATGTTTGATGAACTTTGTCAATTTGTGTCATGAAAGTGGGACCTCTAACTCTTCTTTTATTGGGGTTCTTTATTTGCACAACGAACACATGGACTGAGAAAAAGCGCAGGAAGACTTTTTTCAGCATTACTTTCAGCAAACTGTAGAAATTCTATCACTCCATGTTCGTACTCGTCACTTAATCGATTAGCTCTCATCCAACTATGATCCATAACTATGTTCACACAGAGGAAGGTCTAACGAAGGGTGTGCCCGCGGCTGTGCTACTTCACGGAGATTCCGAGATCGTAAGTTGTGCTGCTTCACAGAGAAAGAAAAATAGAATCAAATTTCAATGGCAATGTGATAACTCTATTAAGTTTGATAGGTTAAAGATAAACTGTGTGTTTCTGAGAGGACCATTAACGTTTCATTCCGAGGTTCCTAAGGAGACAATTTCTCTAATTAAAAAGAATAACATATACACAACATGTACTATATTCTTAACTCTATACAAAATATATACTATTTATAACTAATTAGACTTAATAAACTCTCTAAGAATAATAAACTATTTAGTAATTAAAAAACATATATGAACAAAGGAATGGATTCACCAAGCCACCGAGTTAGTATCTAGTATAATCTTCTAATTGGTTTTATATGTACTTCCAATTATTTTATAATGTATCTCAGTAGCAAGCAAAATAACAAGAATATATTAAAAACTTTTTTGTATATATCTCTCTCTTAGAAATCCATAGATATACAATAAAGTTGAACAAAATAGAAAATTTCTTACCGAAATCGTAGTTCGACGGCGGAGGGGGTTTCGAAAAAGGAGGAGGGGGTTTCTTATTGGAACCGTCTTCGTGAACGGCGGGAAAGGGCGGCGGAGGAGACGGATGGTGACGGAGACGAACGAAGGGCGTTCGTAGACGGACGGAGACGGAGACAGAGTAGTGGGCGGAGAGAGCGGACGGTGTTGGCGGACGGTGTTGGCGGACGATGTTGGCAGAGGGTGTTGGCAGAGTACAGATCTCGTTCGTGGGATTCTGTTTTGAAGAGTCAATAACTAAATGAACAGCAGCAGGGCTTATTTCGTAAATATATATTACACTTTTTACATCGGTGGATTGAAATAACCGATGTAATAGTTATTTCGGTTCTACTTTTTACATCAGTGGAAGTTATTGACCGATGTAATGGTTGTTTTTTACATCGGTGGAAGTCAATGACCGATGTAAGGATTTTCTGATTTTTTACATCAGTGGAACGCAAGGCCCGATGTAAGGGTTCTCTGGTTTTTTATTTACCAATTTGCCACCTAGTTTTTTACATCAGTGGATAGCAAGGCCCGATGTAAGGGTTTTTTGGTTTTTTTTTCCAATTTCCCACCTTGTTATTTATTTACAATACTGCCACCGTATTTTTTTTTGTAAAATCTTTTACATCGGTTTATTACTTTGACCGATGTAATAGCCAGCGAAAATTTCTTTTTTAATATTTTTTATATCATTGCAAATAAATACCTGATGTAAAATCTTTTTAATTTTATTTTTTACATCATATATTTTAATACCTGACGTAAAGTCCTTTTCTCAAATGTCATTTTTTTAGTAGTGATTTTTCAAACTTTTTCAGTTACCTGCGAGTTTTCCTGCATATTTGACATTATCTGCGGACTAACCTGCGGATTTTATTACGGAATTATCTGTGGAAAGATTGTCCACAGATAATTCCACAAGTAAATCCGCAGAAAAAGTCAAATCTATAGGAAAATCCACAAATAAATAGAAAAATTAAAGAAAAAAAATTAGGAGATGGCTAGACACCATCTTACTTGACACCTCGTTTAAAAAAAAATCAATAAATGCGCTATCTGAGATGACTATTACATTATAATATTTTTTTGAAACAAGACCATTTGTATAAATTTCTTCGAAACATGATTATTTATGTATTTATTTTTTCAAAACATAATTATTGCTGGAAAAAATTCATCAATATTTATCTCGTACTTTGTTATGTATTAATTATAAAATATTTATTTATTTTTTATACTTGTCATTGACAAATATTTGTTCTATAAATTAAAAATATGTCTATTATATTTTTTTTTAATAATTATTTATGACAAATACTTATCTAATATTTTTTATATTAATCAATGTCAAATATTTAAAAAAATATATACCAATATCCTTCTAATACAATCAATAATTATCTTAATCAATGTTTCATAAATAATTTTTTAAATAAAATAAATAATATATTATAAGATTAAATTACAGTTTTAATCCTCTTATTTTATCTGATTCACAATATATCTATTTTAAAATTAAACGGTTTTGATCTTCCTCTCATTTTTTAATACTATAAATCAATAAAATGTCAGTTTTTAAAATTATTATTTTTATTTATAATGTTCCACAAATAATTTTTATATGATGATTTGACACATCATTTAAAAATAAACAAATTGTCCATTTTAAAAAAAAATTGTAAAAGAGAGACTAAAACTATTTGATTTTAAAATAAGAGGATCAAAAATTTAATTAAACTATATTATAATAGGAGGATTAAAAATGTAACTAAGCTATATTATAATTATTGTCATTTATATTTAAAAAATATAAAAAATATGTTATTTGAATTAATTATAATTAATATAATATGTTTTTTTTGAGTTAATTAGAGAGAAAATATATATTATTTGAATTAATTTAATTAACATAATATAAGTATTAAAATTTTCTTGTAATTAATTTAATATAATTTTTTTTTAATTTTTAATATATAAGATCAATATTATAATAATTTGTAAGTTGGAGTATGTCATTTTTATAATATATTATAATTAGTTTTTACTTGTTTAATATATATATATATATATATATATATATATATATATATATATATATATATATATATATATATATATATATATATATATATATATATATATATATATATATATATATATATATATATATATATATATATATATATATATATATATATATATATATATATATATATATATATATATATATATATATATATATATATATATATATATATATAAGTGAGTGATATAAATATTTTATATATAATTGACATGTGTCAAATTTGCAAGTGGGGGTAGTATAGATATATTTTGGTGGTAATATGTTTTCTAAAGTTTTATGGTGGATGGATGGTGGACTCTAGCTTGGCAAGGCAAAGAAACTAAAGATTGAAGATTATTAAACGTGAGATTATTAAATGTAATATTTTAATATTTAAATGTGAGATCGATAATCATGTAACTTCATTTATATATTTTAATTTTATTTCTTTTTGTTTTTTTTTTTTTTGGCAACTTTATCGAGAAAACTTTATAGAACCGCGTCTAAATATTTTTAGAGTTTAATTAATATATATTAACAGTATAAAATAATTTTATATTATCATCTAATAGAAAATAAATAATATGTTATGTCATTTAATACTTTTAAAATAAAAATATATTTTAATTAGATATATGATTATGATTGATTGATCGTATAAAATTATTTTATAATCTCAATGCATCAAACACTTTTCTTATATTTTTAGGTATAAGAGCTTATAATTACTTGTAAATAATTATAATATGGTGTCACTTTTTTTTGACGGGGATATGGTGTCATATTATTCAACTTGTTTGTTGTGTTTTTTATGGGTACGTTCGGATTAACGGTAAATAAAATTAATTTTAGTCAAATTGAATTTAATAGAATTGATTTTATCAAAATTGAGTTTAGTAGAATTTATTATATTTGAATATATTTATATAAAAGTGAGTTGAACAATAAATTTCAATATAAAAATTATCTAAAATCAATTATGGAGAGAGACACTACAAATTTTAAATTCAAGTCGAATTAATTCTGAAGACGGAATCAATTCTATTTTTGTCTAATCAAACATCTCAAAATCAATCAATAATTAATTATATACTTCTAAAATTGCTTTTAACCCTGTCGAAAATTAGACCAATCATACACTAAGTATCAAATAATCATACCGAAGTATGATCAATTTAATAGCTCTTTTTTTATTCAAATATTATATGACATCAATTCGATAAATAACCATTAAAATATTGGAAAAATAATGTAGCAACCAATATTCTTTATGATCGATGAACAATTACAAAATTTCTTGAAAAATACTCCCTCTAATTTTTAATATAAAAAAATTTATTTTTTGAAATTTATTGAAGAATTAATATATTTGAATTACATATAGTCCAAATACATTAATTCTTCAATAAATTTAAAAAATTAACTTTCTTATTTCTTATATTAAAGACAACAGGTATTAATGCCACGACCCTCTTAAAAGAGGATTCAAATTGTACCCTTTGACAATGTTTAGCATGATGAATAATCTCTTACTACATGAAAAATACGATTTGAATAGAATAAGAATGTCTCAAATAAAAATCCGTTTTATAAAGAGAATCTATATGAACAATAATTTTCTTATTAATCACTAAAGACTTTATCATCGATACATGACGAAATCCCTTCTCAGTTTACAATATTTGGTGATTTACTTTGACTAATAGGAAACATATTAGTAAAAGCACGTGGACACAAAACATTACATTGGTACTCTGGCGGACATAAACAAATGGGTCCCACACATGTGTCACAACAAGCTTTAGATGGACCAACATGTTCTTTTTGACACACACAGTAGGCTCCCCAACATCCACTGTAATAGCATGTTTTTGTACAACCAATACTCACAACACCTGATTCTATACACACATAATATCATAACATTAGCAAATTAGTAATAATGTAAAAGGTTAAAACTAAGATTTTTTTTCCCCACCTAGCACCTTTTTACTATTAAATTCCGGTACTATTATACATTTTCACACATATTTTTAATATACCATCTTTTTAAATAAAAATAAAATAAAATAAGAGTATCTGTTCATTAGATTAGCTGATGCTATTTAACTTATACAATTTTCATTCATTAGAACGACGAAATTGTTTAAATGTCGTTTTTTATTAATATAATATTAAAAATAAATTAAAATTAAAATTATTATTTAAAAATAAATTAGAATAAAAATTAATATTAAAATTAATATTTAAAAATAAATTAAAATAAAAATAAATGTTAATTATATTAATAAATAAATACTAAAATAAATAAAATTTATCTAAATAAAAATAAAAAATAACATAAATTATAAAATACGACTCCGCCACTGCAATGGACAGAGACTTTTATTATATTATTATTTAAGTATGGTTCCGCCACTGCAATGGGAAGAGCCTTTTGTTATTTTATTATTTAAGTACGGTTCTGTCACTGTAATGGACAGAGACTTTGTTATTTTATTATTTAAATACGACTCTACTATTGCAATGGACAGAGATTTTTATTATTTTATTATTTAAATACGGTTCTGTCACTGTAATGGGTAGAGGTTTTTGATATTTTAATTATAATAGAATTATATAATTTAAATATAATATATATATATATATATATATATATATATATATATATATATATAATATATATATATATATATATATATATATATATATATATATATATATATATATATATATATATATATATAATATATATATATATATATATATATATATATATATATATATATATATATATATATATATATATATATATATATATATATATATATATATATATATATATATATATATATATATATATATATATATATATATATATATATATATATAACTCAAGTAAGTTAATTTAAAAAAGAAAAAAAAATCAGATTAACATTCTTCCGTTCATCCAATGAGCGGACCTTCTTAAATTTACAACGTTTCTACCCATTACTTTTGCGGATGTCAGAAATATTCAACAGTTCTATTCATTCATTTGACGGATACTTTACAATAAAAATAGAATTTATTTGAAAAAATAGTAATATGAGAATATTAATTAAAGAGGATAGTATAGTGAAAAAATTTGTGTAAAAAGGTGATAAGGCATTAAAAAATTCTGAAAGTAAATTAGTTGGCTTTAAAAATCAAAATGTGATGCATAAAAAATTAAGTTATTAACATCTAACCTGATGCAATGACGAATAAAACTAACAAAAACGTCAACTTCAAAATAAGACCCATTGTAGTGTCTTTTGTTGTTCATCTACAATGTGCTTCAGATATTTATATATAGTCCATAGGTATGTCACCTTATTAAATATCACATTAAATTTAAATAAAAGTTTAAAATTGATATAGTATGTATTAATTATCTGGTCAAAATATCCCCTATTAAGATTTCGTCATGCTTTCTTTTTCCATTAAATTTTTTCTTTAAAATATTATTTTTATCATTGTTAATTGTATATAACACTTTGCTTGACCAAATAGTACAATTTTACCATTAACCAGTAGGAGTCCTACACGTTCTCAGACATGGTACATACATTTTTGTTTTTAAAAATGATAAAAATGTAACAAAAACTAAAATAATTTATAAAAATATTTGAATAAATTTTTTCTCATTTACAAAAAAATAATATTAAAATTCACTCATTAGTTTAAAAATAATATTTACTATTAAAAAATATAATAAAAATGAATAAGAATGAAAAAATAGAAATTCAAAATTATTTAACCAATAAAAGTTTATTATTTAAAAAAAATATTCTTATTTATATATGAAACATAAATATAATTTTTTCACATATATAAATATTTGGATTAATCGATTCTTTTTATATGTTAATATTAATTTTGTTTTGATATTATTTATAATAATATTTATACAATTATATAGTTTTATAAATATCAATTAATAACAAAGTATTTGTAAACAAAAATTAATTATATATATAAATATTAGTAACACAAATAAATATTTTTTATCTGTGTTTGGATTCATACATATATATATATATATATATATATATATATATATATATATATATATATATATATATATATATATATATATATATATATATATATATATATATATATATATATATATATATATATATATATATATATATATATATATATATATATATATATATTAATTGTACAGTTATAATAATATATGGGTTCACATGAATTCTGGTGTGGATACCCGTACTTTCGCACAGATATTCGTGTGATACATACGATTTTGTTTTTAAAATTTAATAAAATAATAAGAAAAATGAAATGAATAAAAAGACAAAATTGTCTAACCAAAATAGTTTATTATTTATAAAAGAGATAATAAATTGGTTTCAATATTTCGTTGCGGATATAAAATTATTTTAATCAACAATATTATTATTCTTATATAAATATTTTTGTTTTGAAATATTTATAAAATTAATTAAATCAATAATAAATTTGTTATAATTATTAATCAATATTTAAACCATATGATTTGATTCAAATATATTTTATATAGTTGATCAATATCATAAAAAATACTAATAACAATACAAATCTTAAATTGATAAATAAAAATCATTATTAAAAAATTAAAATTATTATAAATTATTAAAACCTATAAAAATCTTGATAATAACAATTCAAAGCAAAACAGGCCATCATTAAATTTGTCAAATTTGTTGTGTTCTAATTATATTTAGGGGTGATAAAATGGGACCGATCCGTTCGACATAATTGTTTTGTCGTATTTTTGTATGGGTCGGATTAAGGTTTTAGGATCACAATCTCAAATATGTCCATTCTACGGATTTTTAGAGAACGGATCTAAATGGAGCAAACATGCCTGTTTGTCACTTTTAATCATATTACACAAATATTTAAAAATAATAATTATTTTAATAACTATCAAAATTCAATTTCATATTATATTAAATTCTTGAATATTTATAATAAAAAAATTTAATAAAAATTTATAAAAAAGTATTTGGATAAAAGTTACTTTCTTAGATTTTTAATAAAAATATACTTACTGTTTTTCATATATAAATTTTAATTTTAATTTTTTGTTTTAAATACTAACATAAAGGTCATAGTTTATTAAAAATTGTAATAATAACTAAATATTTCGAGTGCAAATGTATGCATTATTATTAAAAGAAATAGTGAATAAAATTTATAAATAGTAACAAAATTTGATAAAATTGTAATAATAATTCTATGGTATAAAAAATATCAAATAATAGTAATATAAATTTAAAATTTTATATTGACTATGATTTTTTCTCTTGAATTTTTTTTTATGATTTTGTTATAAAAAACATAATTTATCTTGTGTTTTGTCTTTAAAAAATTTATAACTTTGTTATAATTGGTAATGGTGAAAATATTTTATATTATGTATTAAATTTAGTCTATTCTAGAAAATTAATATATTGAATGAAAGATTTCAATTTAATAAATTAAAATATTTAAAATTGATAATATAAGATGAAATCATTAAATAAAAGAATAATTTGATTTTTATAATAGATGATAGTTAAATAAAAAATAAATGTTTTAATTTTTTTAATCAAAAAATATTTTAAATTATAATAATTATTTCTCAGTATATTTAATGTGTGAACTGAGAATAAAATATTGATTTCAAAGTATTGATTTTTATTATTAATAATTTGATAGAATGGATTTGAAATAATAAGCTTTAATTCATTTTTCTTTGTTTTGTTTTCGTTTACTGCATTCTTAGTATGTTGAAAAGGTATTTAATACACTATCAGAATATGACTTCCTTTGGTCCACCATTCAAGGAGAAATTAACATATCACTCTCTAAATTAAATATGTCATTCTCTTAATTTTTTATATTTTAGATTTGTCTTTGATGAGTAAATTTTTGGACGAAATTTTCGATAAAAAGGGTGAAATTTTCGATATAGTGCAAATTTCCGATACACTCTTACCAAATTTCTAGTAAGGGTAAGTTTCTCGTGGTGTATTTTAAATTTTTGATAAATCGAAAATTTCAAATTTCTGTGTTAGTACCAGAAATTTCAGGTATACTGAAATTACCAGAAATTTCAGGTATACTGAAATTTCTGGTAGGTTATGTATTCAGATTTTTTCAACAATCGGAATTTTGCCGACATAATTGGAGGGTCCTTATTGCACCAACACATTTGTGTGTACTCATGACTTTGTAGACGCACGGGGTGTTCGTATCAGTGGGGGTCACGTTGTCTACGCGCTCAGCCACAACCTCATGCTCTGCAACCTGCTCAATCTCCGACTCCACAACAGTCACAGACACATGTACCTCCTCAATTAACCTTTGCAGTTAGTTGTCGACTCAACAACAGGAACAAAAGCATGTACCTCCGCAGTAGCTGGCTCCATAATATGCTCTGCAACTGGCTCCTCAGCTGGCTCCTTAGTAATGGAAACTCTTAGTCTTCGACGACGGGTTGCACGAAACTGATCATACTACTCTGCCAACCGTTTTTAGTGAAAACGGGTTGGACGATGTCGACCAGTCCGTAACTCGGAAGCATGTCCCTCATCAGTCTTGGCTTGAGCTTCCGCTCTATCAGTCTGCCTACCCACAACAGTAAAGTCTTTGTCTCTGGTCCTCACTGCAAAAAAGTAAAAATAAATAGAAAAATATAAATTAGCAGAAATTTCTAAATTTTCAGTATTTTTTTAAAAAAATTAAACTATCAAATATTTCAAAATTTCTTATATATATAGTAAAGTACCGAAAAATTTAAAATTTTCAATATATAAAAAAAATGTTTACATCAAAAATTTCAAACAATATGCGAAATTTTCATTTTCAGTAAAGATCTCCTTCAATCCTCCATCGTTACAATTTTATCTCTTATGTTTGTACCTGTAATATACATACATATCAAAAAAAAATTGTACACTCCAGATTTCTCCTTATCTCTCCCATCCATTATTCAGGCTATTTAATCATTTTCTTTCATTTCGCATTAATCTTTCTCTTTCTTTCTCCAAAATCACCAAAGATTACTCTCCAAACTCTTTTTTCATCAAGATTTCCATATCTCGATGTCAAAATCTTCAGTTCTAAATCTTGATGTCAAAATCTTCACTTACTCATCAAAATTTTCAAATTCCTAGAATATTCAACCGATTTTCTAGAATATTCCACTAATCTTCAAGAACCTTCAAATGTTTTTCCCAGAAATTTCAACCAATGTTTATACCCTTCATTCTTTAAAACCTTCAAACCTTTATTTATTCATTTTTTCGTTTAAACCCTTCCTTCTTTCTTTATTTTTTTTTCAAATTCCTTTTCCCTCATTGTTTTTCAACAATGGAAAGCGATCAAAACCAAAACATCACAACTACATCTTCCACAAAAAAACACTTGAGAAAAAACATTTGGTACTATTTTTTATATTTGTTATAGATGATCTAAAGAGAAAAAAAATATTGAAACACAGAAATGATATAATTTTTTTGAAATTGTAAATTAATAAAATATTTGAGAGTTATTTATAAATGATATGAAGGAGGGAAATCAACTTTGATTATCATTTTCAACCATAACATAAAAAAGTATGGAAATTTTTTTACGTTCTTTGAGAAAAAGAATAATTTTTAAACTTTTTTTATAAATAAATATAATTATTAGAGAGAGTAAAGAGAAATATGAAAATAAGAGAGAAGAGAAAGAAAAAAAATTATGCCTGACAAAGTGAACAAAAAATAATTTGTTTTCAAGGTGAGAGTCCAATAGTTAGGAAATGTTGCCAAAAGACTTAATTTGTCCCAAAATTTTATACCTGGAGACAGGTTGACCAGGGGAAGTAAAGGCTTTTCCAAAAACTAAAATTTTCTTATATGGTAGAAGGACACTTTACTTTACTTTTTTTTTTTTTTGAAAATATATACGTAAGGTTTATTATACCTTTTTTTTAATATATTTTATCTCTTGGATTTTCTTATTAAGATTCCTTCATACTCTTTTTTCCATAATTATTAATTTTTCAAAAATATTCTTTTTGGTGTTCTAAATTTATTTCGGAGTCTTATCTCTAAAAAAATTTAAAGTGATCATTTAATTGTTTCAGTCTAATTTTTACTAACGGCGTCAACTTTTGCTTGGATGACATTTGACGTGGCGCTAATGTGGTACGCGTGGTATGTAAATTCATTAAATACCCATAAAATTTCTAAATAATTTTGTTGTAGTCAAGATTCAAATCC